TCATCATCATCATCATCATCATCATCATCATCATCATCATCATCATCGTCATCGTCATCATCGTCATTATTATTATTATTATTGTATATGAGTGTTTTGCCTGTATGTATGTCTGTGTACTACATGCTTGCACTATCCACCGAGGCCAGAAGAGGGCGTCACATCCTCTGAAACTAGAGTTACAGATGGTTGTGAGCTAGTATGTGGGTGCTGGGAATTGGACCTATGTCCTCTGCAAGGGCAGCCAGTGCTCTTAACTGCTGAGCCATCTTTCCAGACCCTTTCCCTCTCTGTCTTTTGCTTTTGTTTTTTATTTTTCCAGACAGGGTTTCTCTTGCCTTGGCTGTCCTGGACTCACTCTGGAGACAGGCTGACCTTGAACTCACGGTGCTCCACCTGCCTCTGCCTCCCTGAGTGCTGGGATTATGGGTGTGCACCGCTGTGCCTGGCTCCTCTCTTTTTTAAAGCTATGCAGATAGCTCAGTTGGTGGAGTGCTTGTCTGGCATGCAGGAAGCCCTGGTTTTGATCCTGACACCACATAAACTGGGTATAACGGTACATGCTGCAGTTCTAGACTTGGGAGGTGGAGTGAGGAGAATCAGATAGCAAGTCTGAGTCCAGCCTGGACTATTTATAGAAGACACCATTTCATGTACTACACACGAGAAACAGAATATAAACAAATGAGAGAAAAAAAAATAAACCACCCGACAAACATATATGTCTACTTTTAGAACTGTTACAGTTTTCTGAGGTAAAGTTGACAAATGCAACTGGCACATGCAGGGAAAACAACAGGATGGCGAGACGTATGTGTGTGTTTCCTATTCCGGGGGACATATGCTCATACCTACCGTGCATCTGCGAATTCCCGAGTCATCCACAAGCCACTTTTCTAGTTTCATCAGGAAAAGACACGTTTTTCAACGGATCTATGCCCAAGTCCTTCCTGGGCCTGCTGACCCTTATCACTATTGGCTGACCCTTATCACTACCCCCAGGTTTACCTATGCCTGGAGAAGTTAATGTGCAGCGAGGCATTTAGAGGAGATGTTAGGGGCAGGAAGACCTGTTTGAATTGGGGACCTCTGGTCTGCTTGTCTCATTGGTCTCACTGTTGCTGTATAGCTTAGCGGTATCCTCCATGTCCACTGAAGTGTCCCGTGCTCTTATGTTGCAGAGATAGACCAAAGTGCTGACAACCTGTACGTCTTCCTTGTAATATGTGGACTCAGACCAGTGAAAGATCCTTTGTACTTGGTAGATGCATTCTCAGGTATGTGTTATCCCCTCCTCAGTGTGTGGATTTGCAAGTCGACTGTGCCTTGGCTTTGTGTTCTTACTGGGTGCCCAAGCTGGCCTTGAACTCTCAATCCTCCTGCTTTAGTCTACCAAACAGGGATTAGACTATGAGCCATCTTGCCCAGTGGGACTTTTTTCCCTTTTGCAGAACTGATCCTAGATTATCACTTTAGAAACAGCCCAAAAGGGTAATTTATGGGATTAATGTCTCTGTGTAGACCTGCAGCTTCATGTATGAAGGATGTCAGACAAGTTGGAAATAATTGCGAGGCTAAACTATTTTTTTTAAAAAAGCTCTTCCACTTTTTATAAAGATCCCTTTATTGTGTTTATGTGTTTGCCTGCCTGTGTGTATGTGTATGATGTGTGTACCTTTGAGTACCAGAGGAGGTCGTTGGATGCCCTAGGACTGCAATTATTGGCAGTTGTTAGCTGCCATTTGGGTGCTGAGAACCAGGTTCTGATCCTCTGCAAGAGTAGCAAGTGTTTTTAACCACTGAGCCAATGCTCCAGCCTGCAAAGAAAGAAATCTTTAAGTAAAAGTGTACAGTGCCACATAGAGGCATTCTATCTAAATACATGAAATTGATCCTGTTAGGATGGATGAATGCTTAATGACCTAAGAGCACAAAGCATACCGCGGGGGTAATTTATAGTTAAGCTGAATTGTTTTCCCAGCTGTGGCCTGAAGCCATGTTAGGTCCATTCAAAGTCCTCTTTTCTTTCTTTCTTTTTCTTCCCAAGAATGGCATCAAGAAGCACCCAATGTGTACATGGTGATTGTAGGTCCTGAGGTGAGTCCATGTGCTGTGAATGCCTATCTGGTGGCTGCTTTTTCCTACTGAGCTTTATTTTCTTAAGTGTGTGTGTGTGTGCGCATGTGCAGTTCTTATTAGGACCTGGAGAGGGAGTTGGATCCTTTATACCTGGATTCACAAGTGGTTGTCAGGTGGTCAGTATGAGTGTTCAGAATGGAACTCAGGTTCTCTGCAAGAGCAGCATGCACTCTAACTATGTGGCTGTCTCTCCAGTCTCTCTTCTACTGACTTATAATACATTTTCTAAAACTAGTTTATGTTCCTTGTCTATATATCTAGGCTTTTTTTCTCTCTAAGAAACCAAAGTAAGTTTGCCTTTTTATTACATTGTTATTTATTTACTTGTCTTGTATGTGCCATACTTAGCACATATGTAGAGGTCAGAGACCAGCCTGAAGGAGTCTTTCTACTGTGTGGGTCCCAGTGATTCAACTCAGGTGTCAGGCTTGGTGGTAACTCAGCACCTCTATTGCTGAACTATCTACTTCGGCCCATCATTTGTCTTTTTCAAAAATGAAGCTATGGCGCTCAGCCATTAAAAGCACCAGCTATTATTCCAGAGGACCTGGGTTTGGTTCTCTGCACCCAAATGGTGACTCACAATCATTTGTATGTAACTCTAGTTCCAAGAAATCCAATGTCCTCATCTGGCTCTTCAGGCAATGCATACATGTGGTGCATATGCATACATGTAAAAATATTTAAAAAATTGAAAACCTCCTGGGTCATATCTCAGTGGTAGAGCACTTCCAAAACTTGTATGAGCCTTGTATTCAGTTCCCAAAACATGTGGGTACACATGCACATACACACATACATATAAACACAGAGTGGAGGGAGAGAGAGAGAGAGAGAGAGAGAGAGAGAGAGAGAGAAAGTCAGGCCAAAGTTAAAGATTATAGTTGCTGTTCCTCCTTTATGGCTGACTTATTATAAAGATTACAATTAATTAAAACTAACTGACTATTGCAAAGGATAACTGAATAATTCTCATGGGAAAACTGGTGTGTCATATAAAGAGGAAGTTATTTTAAAATATACAAGACAAATTTTTATCTAAGTGAGTGCATTAAGCCAAACTGTATGAATGGTCCAGAGTATTTGAAACCCTTTAACTGCTCAAACTGTGAATGAAGAACTGCTCTTGAACCCAGCTGCTGGCCTCTGGTTAGGGACCTTGCTTTTGGGAACAGGACCCTCATACACACCCAGTTTGACATTTCATGGCTGTTACTAGGAAACTGCCCCTTTGTGTTCTGTGTTGACTCTTGGTGGATGAGCGAAATCCACTGTACCTCCTATTCCTTCCTCAATGTTGAGGCCACACCTCATGAGTGTGGACTTTCATTTGCTCCAAGCTGTTTGGAAAACAAAGTGAACTCTGTGTTCCTAGCTGGGTGGGATCGGCATGGCCATTGCACTCTTCATGTGGCTTCTGTGTCAGGCTTCTCACTGTATATCTGTTCTTTCCAAACGCATCTCTGCTGAAGTCCTTTCTTTCGGTGTGATGAGATGAGGCCTATGGGAGGTGACTGTACCAAGGGGATGGAGGGAGCTCCCATCAATGTGAAAAGAAGCACCAGGGAGCTGCCCTGCCTTTTTCGTTATGTGTGAACACAGAAAGAGGCCACCACCTACGAATCAGGAAGCACAGCTCAGCCTGCTAATGCCTTGATCCTGGCTTCTAGCCTCTGCAACTCTCTGCTAAGTTTGTAGATCATCCAAGATGGGTACACCGAAGCAGTACCCATCTGAGCGAAGTCAGCTACGTCCTCTGTAGTGCTGAGTAGAATTCTCCTATGAGCCACCTCTCCCAGCACCTTGTTTTGTTTTTGGCCACACGGCAACAGGCAAACTGGGAGTGTTTGCTAACTGACTTTCTGACAGAGAGGGTCCACAAGACCAAAGCAACGAATGTAGACAGTGTGTTTTGGTGAACCGGTGAGGTTATTGGTGTTAATGACAAGAGGATGGGTTTGCATCACCGAAGATCCCACTCAGCCTGGGTGGTGATGCGTCCCCGGGGCTTCCTAACACGCAGCTTCGCCGAGGAGTCTCTGATTGCCCGGCAACTGCTTCCCTGCTTCTGTGACCATGGCAGCCTTAGAGAGTCTTGTGACTTTCTGGTGTCTTTCCTAAGCCTCCACCCAGGAGGAAATGCTTTAGGTGGAAAGACAGATTCTCCATCCTGTTAACTGAGCAGCTGGCCTCACTTTCACTCACTTCTTCAGAACCGCCCCCCAAAGCCTCAAGTGGCCACTCTATACAACTTCTCAGAACCTCATCTACCTCTCCTATCCTAGTTCCCTGTGGACATTCCCAGCATGACAGCTGCTCTTTGCATTCTCACAGACTTTAGAAATAATCATGTTTACCTAGAATGAAGCCAGAGACACTAATGAAGACAACCAAGAGGGCAGGGGCTGGTAAAATGGCTCAGTGGGTTAAGGTGCTTCCTGTTAAACCTGATGGCCCGAGTTCAATCCCTGGGCTCCCCATAATGGGAGTGGAGAACTGATCCTAAACGCTGGCCATGGTACATGTGCAGGCAAACGTGTAAAACAGATTTAAAATGTACAGATACACACACAGAAACTGCAGCCATGTCAGAGGCCACAGTGAGAAGAGATCTCTAACAAACATTAGAAGCCCCACAGTCTTCGGAAAAAAAAAAAAAAAAAATCCAACACTTTATAAGTTCAGCGTCTCTGTAAAATATCCGAGTCTCTTACCTGTGGCTTTCTATCAAATTCAAAATAAGTTACACAGGTGTTATTTCAGGAGGGAAGAACCAGGGCACAGTTAGAATCAGATCAAAGCGAACTCAAACTCCCAACAGTTCAGTGTCCAACATCTGGGGCTCTCATGGACCAGGCCGGTCCCAGCTCTCTGGTTCTGCTGCTGCAGCACACACAGCCTGTCCTGAATCCTGGGCTGAGATCCACCCTGCAACCCCACTGTCCCTGAGTGGTCACCCTGTTATCTGGCATCTCCACCATTACTGAGGCTTCACCCTCACCGGTCGTCTCTCCCACTGCCAAGGCTCAGCCTCTCCCTGTAACCCCCCCAGTCATGCAACAGAGGTTGTCCCTTCACCAGTGTCCTCTTCTGGCCTCCCTTCAGGGCAGCGGGTCCCTGCTACCCAGTAACTGTAATTTTGCTACTGTTATGGATTGTAAATATCTGTGTTTCTCAATAGTCTTTGGTGACTCCTGTGAAAAGGCCGTTTGACAGCACCCTTTCCCCCCCCCACCCCCAAGGTTTTGACCCATGGGTTGAGAACCACTGCTTCAGGGACTCTGACTGTCCCCGGAGGTCAAACCCCAGATTCTTTCCGTGACTCCTTCAAGCCTGAAGCCTCTGCTATGGGCTGAGGCTGTGCCTCCTCCCCCAATGGCCTCCTGATCTCTCTGAAGGGACTCCAGCCCTGCCATAGCTCTCATGAGTCCCCTACACCCTCAAACCAGCACCATGTGGGAGATTTCCACACCTTACTAAGTTTGACGCCGGCTTGAGGGGTAGCCGTGGGTCTCCTGGAGCCCAACCTCTGAGTGCCGACCCCAAGGAAACACCTAAAAGATTTCTCCTGGATAAATCACTGCCAGCTTTTCTGTGTCAGCAAACCAGAAACCACCGACTTGCAATTTAAATAGTCACATGAAGGAACGGTCCTGACGGAGTCTGAGAGACTCTCAACCTCCCCTCAGGCACTTGCAAGCCGGGTCTCCATCGCCTGTGCTGCTTTCGGCATTGTTCTCCAACCCTCCCTCAGCAGCAGGCCAGCAAGCCCTGACTACTCAGTGGCTCCTCCACTCCAAAGCCTTCATCCTTCCACAACCCTCCCCAGGAAAAACAACATGGTCAGCTACAGTACGGTCCCCATGTCTGATTCCAGTTCCCACCCTAGTTCATTTTCTGTTGTTGTGCTAAACCCCATAACCAAAATCAACTTAGAGTTAAAGAGGGGAAAGAGCTCATTTGGCTTACAGTTCGCAGGCCATCAGGAAGTGGAATCAGGGCAGGAACTCAAACTGTAGGAACCTGGAGGCAGGAACTGAGGAGCTGGGGCCATGGAGCAGTGCTCCTTCCTGGCTTGTTTTCTCATCTCTGGCTTGGTTTGCTTTCTCATATAACTCAGGACCACCTGCCTGGGGGGGGGGGGGTGACACCACCCACGGTGGGCTGGACCCTCACCACATCAATCAACAATCAAGAAAATACCACACAGACTTGACCACAGGTCAACGTGATGGAGGCAGGTCGGTGGCACTCCCTGCTGAGATGAAATTCTCCAGTGTCGGGTCCTCCTCAGATGTGCTTTTCTGTACAAACTTGTTCTTTTACTGTTTCAAACCCCCCCCCCCCATCTGTAATGGCCACACTTGAGTCCTCAATTTATCGCTAAGTCTGGAACAGGAGGAGGCTTAAGCCATTTTGTACTTGACTTTGAGCATTGGCTGTGGTTTAGGGCCTCACATGCTGATGAGGTGGGTTTGCCAAGTGTCTTTGTGTGTCAGGACACATTAAAATCCTTATTTTAATGGCACACAGTGCATTAATACCGCCCCACCCCACCCTTCTGAATCCTTCTGTCTGGATCCGGATGTGAGTGTCCATTTCTTCCTTTGCTCCCTGCTCTCTTATTGTCTCAATATGCACTTAATGGGATGCTCAGCAGGCTTACCTAGCTTTTTCTAGGTCATGATCCATGCCTCGTTGCAAAATTGTGTAGACTTGCCTAGATCATGGCCCTGTGAAGCAGAGTCTGGCCATTAGTCCAGCCTTTACTTCAGAGTTCAGGATGACTACCTCGGCCTCTTCATAGCCTCATTCACGTAGGAGACTCTAGGCTCATTCACTTGCCTCAGCTGAGAGCACCAAGAGACAGCTCCTAGCCCAAAGCCTGCCAGAAGACATCTTAAGAGCTCAATGGGGAAATCACTGGGAATGCCAAAGTGCCTGGAAAGGAGCATAAGACAGCTCACTGGGACAAGTCTTACATAAGGCTGAGTGCCTGGATTAAAAAAAAGCTCCTCTCCCACCTTGCCTCTTAGAACTGGCTGTTGTTCCAGGCTCAGGGCTCAGGTTGTTAGGTTGTCTTTTCCTAGGGAGAGGACTGGCAAGTGAGGCCACTGGGAAAAAGTGAGGATGACCATGAACAGGCCAGATGAGATGGGAGTCTGAACAGCCATAGCCACAACAAAATCCCAAACTGACTATGTATACACACATCTTGTTTTCACGATTTCTCTCATTTTATTTTATGTAAGTGAGTGTTTGACCTGCATTACGTATGTGCAGCACATGAGTGGCTGGTACCTGCCGAGATCTCACAACCATTACCATGATAGCCCGTCAGTTAACTATGCCCCATCTCTGGGCCAGGCCTACCTCTGTGTGTTGTGAGAGAAGCTGATCATGTGACTGTATGAAGGGTTACAAGCCCCCCCCCCCACCCCATCGACTTTGGGGACAGCTACTTAACTCTCTTGACTTAACTATGTGCCTCAGTTTCCCCATCCTCAAAGCAGGACCGACTAAGACAGTAGTACCTGCCTCGTGGTTTGCTGTGAGTGAGCTTGAGCAGTCACTGCCTTCAGGGTACTGTCCTGTGGATACAGAAAGTAGAAGGGACCATTATAGCCAACGTCGCCTTCTGCTCTGACTGCCGGGATCCTGTTCTAGCTGCAGGATGCTCTGAGGTCAGCTTGGGGTTTCTATTAATGCTCCTTTGATCTCTCAGTTCCCCGGTTTGAAAGATGCATGTGTCCCAGCCCTTTGATAAGGCACAGTGAAGGGGGAACGTTTGCTTTGGGCATGACAGCCTAATGACTCCGCCCGGTAACTTCTCAGAGCGAAGATTATTTCCCCTAAGCCCTAGAGATGAAACAATATATTTTGTTAGGAAATAAACAAGCTTGAAAAGGGGAAATGAGATTTTTTTTTTCCTCTGCCATTTTCAATGCTTTCTTTTCTCCTTAAAATTTTCATTAAATAAAAACATCCACTCTTCTTTTCCTCTTTATCTCGTGTTTTGTTCCACTTGGCTTCACTAAGAGATTTGAAAATGAACTGATGTGGAAAGTAAACCCAGAGAAAGCCAGCATCAATTGTAGTTTCATTTTAAGACTTGCTCTTCACTCCTTAGCTACATGCCAGCCGCCTCAGAACACTTGTATCCTTGACAAAAGATCTTCCCCACCCCCCAATAGTTCATCATGAGAGCCGGTGCATGCTAATAAAGACAAAACGAGGATGAAGTGAAACCGCGCACAATATTAACATGTAGAATGTAGGCTTTCAGTTTTTTGTTTTATTTGTGTGTGTGTACATGACATAATGCATGTGTCTAAAGGTCAAAGGACAACTTGCAGCTGTTTGTTTTTTTTGTTTTTTTTTTTTTTCCTCCTACAATGTCCTGGGCTGGGGTGTGTGTGTAGGGGACTCCCAGGGATCTAAGTTAGGTCATTGTGCTTGGTGGCACAATGCTTTGCCAATTAAGTCGTCTTGCCAGTCTGGAAGGAGGCTTTCACTGAAGGGTTTACTTTCACCTTGTAATATGCTAGGGTCGTTATGGGATCAAGCTGCTTAATAATTTGAGCATGAGGACTGTTCTAGTCACTACACGGCAGCCAGGGAACGAGGCTGACATGAGAGGAAAGGCAGAGCTGTCATCGATGATGACCCCGGGGTGGCAGGGAGCAGGCAGGATAGCTGGTGAGTGGCAGTTGTGGGGAGGTAGGGCACCAGCTGCATCCTGGAGGATGACTTCTGGAGACTGGGGCACAGGTTGGCCAGAGGGGGAGTAGTGAAGAAGGTGGCAGGAATTTCATGGGCCTTTACAGCATGCACTTGTTTGTATATGTATGAATGTATGAGTGTGTGTTTGTGTGTGTGTGTATTTTGAGACAGGGTTTCTCTATGTAGCCTTGGCTCTCCTGGATTTACTTTGTAGACCAGGCTGGCTTTGAACTCACAGAGATCTGCCTGCCTCTGCCTCTGCCTCCCCCAGTGCTGGGATCACAGGTGTGTGTCACCACGACCGGCCTGACACCTGTCTTTTTAAAATGTGGGTTCTGGGTTTTAAATTTGTTATCTTTATGGTTGCAAGGCAAACACTTTACCAACTGGGCAATTTTTCTAGCTTCTGTGCCTTGAACTTTCTAGGAGTTATCTGATGAGACCGTGCAGAACTGAGATAGCCTGGCTTCCAGCCAGCCTAGACTGGAACGCTAGCCCAGTAGCTTTCCTGCTCTATGACACCACCTCTCTGAATCCTCCCCTGTAAAAGTGTTCAGTCATGACACTGTTGCCAGAACCAAGTTCATGATTGTGAAAGGGTTTAGGGCATGCTAAAGCTTAGGGGGCTGCTGAGTATTAATTATTAACAGCTACAAGAGCAGCAATGTGTTGTTCATAGCTGTGAGCTTCTCTCTGCACAGGTCTTCCTAGGGAAAGTGATGAATTCTCATGCATTCGTGTTTGGTATCGTGTAGCCACACACATTTCCAGGCACATAGAGGCCCCAGGGATGTCAGTAAGCCCAACACCGCCAGCCCTTTGGGATCTCGGGCAGGCAGCCTCAACAGTCAGAAGGGTTCAAAGGTGCACCATACAGCACTTCCTTTCAGAAGAAAGTGAAGCAAGAGTTTCTAGATGATGGCTTTATATCATCTGGCATTATAAGCTAGCAGGTCCAGCATTTGCTTTCAGCCAGCCAGCGTGCTTGTAATTCATGATGGCAGTTGGCAACGTGTAAATGAGAACAGGAATTACATCTGCTTTCCTTGCAGCCCGGCTGGAGCCTCAGTCAGGAGGGGCTGCTGGTACCCCACGTTCATGAGCTGGGTTCACACCCTTCCTATGTCTTTGAAGCAGTGTCTAGGATTTTTTTTTTAAGTTTTTGAAATGTTTTTTTTAAGTTTTTAAAATATTTTTATTTATGTGTGTGCATGCAGATGCCATTGAGCTATCTCTGCATCCTCCCTAAATAAGTTTTTCTCCTCCTTTCTCCCTTCCTTCCTCCCTCCCTCCCTTTTTTCTTCCTTCTTTCTTTTCTTCTCTTTCTTTTCTTTCCTTCCTTCCTTCTTTCCTTTTCTTTTTCTTTTTCTTTTTCTTTTGGGGACAGGATCTCCAGATAACTCACTATGTAGACCAGGCTGGCCTTGCTCTCACAAGAGGTTCTCCTGCCTTTGCCCCTTAGGTATTGGAATTAAAGATGAGTGTCACCATTTTTGGCTCCTATTTTTTTAAGTTACATTCATTTACTTATTTATTTTGGAGAAGGTACAATGTGGGTCTTAGAGCTCTAACTCAGGTCAGGCCTGGTGGCAAAACATCTTTGCCCACTGAGCCGTCTTCATCTTGCTGACTCTAGGGTTTTGTGTTGATGAAAGCGGTTTTTCAATTGTTTTAAAGTCGGATGCACTGCTAAAAATAGCAGGCAGGCAGGGGACACTGAGGGACTAATCTGTCTGAGTTTAGTTGGTGGGTCAGATGTAGTTAGTTGGTCCGATGTAGCCTGTCTGGATGTCTCAGTGAAGAGTTTGTGTTGAGTTGAAACATGATTGACAAGCAACTCTGCAGCTTGTAGGAAGCAAACTGACCTTGAACTGGGTGTGTAGCCAAGCATGACCTTGAACTCCTCATCCACCTGCTTCCACCCCTGAGTCCTTTTTCACAGGTGTGCACTACCACGCCTGGACTAGCATAATGTTACCACATAATTTAGTCCTCCCTCCTTGTATCTGAACAATACTCAAACAGTTAAACACATTTTATTATTCAAAAGCTGAGGAGCACATCCCTGATTTTAAAACACTGTTTCTAAGAAGGATCCCCATAAAAACACAAACAACAGCAACAAAAAAACTCTTTAATTCCATGAGCTGCTTTGTCAGAGACTTACTAAGGCTTCCCACTCATTCTCTTGATTGCTTTTATGACAAATTCCATCTGCATCATTTAAGAAAGAAAGCCTTTTCCTGTTGATTGGACAGTTAAATTGTCCTTTCTATAGGCACTCTCTACTCTCCTTTGAAGCCCTTGGGTTTCCCTGGGCTCTACTCTCATAGAAGGTGGCACACACAGTCCCTGTAATGGCTGGACTTAGGCTGGTTCTGTTTTTGTTCGTATTCTTTTTGAACTATTGGGTGGGCTCTGATCCTGTTATGTGTGATTCATGCTCTGAAGACTTAGACTTAGGTCAGGCTTAGCCCAGTCCCAGGCAGGGTCTTTACTGTGGAGGCAAAGATGACCTTGAATTCTTGACCCTTTGGCTTCCTTCCTAGTGTTGAGATTACAGGCTTTCTTCACACCTGGATTATGCAGTGTTGGGGATTGAACCCTGGGCTTTGTGTATGCTAGTTAGTTGCTCACCTGGCCCCACCTGCAGGATCAGGGTTTAAAATTTATACATATATTGTGTGTGTGTGTGTTTGTTGTATATGCCATGGCGCATATGTGGAGGCCAGAGGACATCTTTTGGGAGTCACTTATCTCCTTCAACCATGTGAGTTTCTGGGGTCAAACCCAGGTAGGTCCTCAGACTTTTGCAGCAAGAGCATTTACCTGCTGAGCCATGTGCGAGCCCGAGGTTCAGACTTTTTAAAAGTGTTTCTTGTTCCTCTTTTTCCAGGTAGATCCAGAGTTTACAAGGGAAGTGAAAGACCGGGTGGGGAGGTAAGAGTGGCAGGCAGGTGGCATCTCTGGGCAGGTGGGGACTTGCACACTAGGAATCCCGAGTACATGGTTCAGGAGTTCTGGCTTGCCCGTTGCAGACTCTGCTCTAAGCTGCCTCCTATGTTGTTCCATGTAACCCCTCAAGGTCATGCTTTGGGCTCCAAGGTGCATGCCGATGAATGGACGCACTCAAAGTGTAAGATGCCCTCTCATACTAGTCATCTGCAGAAAGGCCAGAGCAAACCACTGCGCTTCTGGGTCAGGGTCTCACTGCATATCCCAGGTTGGGCTGGAACCAGAAGCCTCCTGTGTGGTGGGATTCTGAGTGCATGCTTCCACACCTGGAAGATCACTTGAAGATGATTGTTTATAAAGATTTATTTACCTATTTACTTATTATGTATACAGTATTCTGTCTGCATGTATACCTTCTGGCCAGAAGAGGGTACCAGATCTCATTATAGATTGTTGTGAGCCACCATGTGGTTGCTGGGAATTGAACTCAGGACCTCTGGAAGAGGAGTCAGTGCTCTTAACCTCTGAGCCATCCCTCCAGCCTCTATCTATCTATCTATCTATCTATCTATCTATCTATCTATCTATCTATCTATCTATCTA